GGGTGGGATGTGCTCCCAGCAGCTCGCCACCTTAGACCAGAGCTGCGCGGATCTTCTGTTCCTGCTTTTTCCTAGCTTGGTCCGAAGTTCGGGATATATTGAAACCTTGCATGGGTGAACCTGGACCGTGTTGATGGGATGTTGTGGTGAGAATGTGGTCACGGAGAGCAACCTGAAACAACTCAGGCAACCTCCCGGTGTGTGCTTGAGCCCCTTCATCTATAGGCAATAGTGAGAATTAAATTCAAATTACTACCCCAGCACCTGTGGGACTTTCTTTCCCTTGACATTGAAAGGCAAACCACGAGCATAGAGGTAGTGGCAACAAGAGCCATGATGCAATCTGAGCTCGGCTTGAAGTCGTGACAATGACAGGAAGGCAGCGCTTGTGGCATCATAGCAGCTAATGTTGTTTAGCACCAGTCTTTATAATAAAGTGTCTTGGCTCTGCTTCTCTATTGTTCCCTTTCTCTGGTAATGTCACCAAACTTGGAGAGAAGCTTCCCAAGCTGTGCGTTTGCCTTGGGCTGATTTTGCTAAAGCTCTTGGGCGAGAAAGAGGGGGTAGAAAGCAAGCTTGGCGTTTATGAGCATGAAACAGAGGGCGAAAATATGGTGCTTTGCTTATGAAAAAGTCTTGCTTTTGTTCCCCTTCAGAAAGTCATGCTGTGGGGCTGGGACTGCCCAGGGCACGTGCCCTGGGGGTGAACCCTGCACTGAGCCCATCGGCATTTGCTCAGGCTCGCTTTGTGCTCTGTGAGGACGAGTCTCCAAAGATCCCACCCAGGAGCATCTTCTGCCTCTCCAGACCCCGGGCCCAAGCCCTGCCTGGACATGCGTGCCCTGCCCCTTGCTTGACGCCTGCCCTCCCCTCTCCCCTCAAAAGTTCAGCAATTGACACACACCTCCCTGCTCCCTACGCACCTCAGGGGGGTTATTTCCAGCAGCTGGCATCCTTTCCAAATCTCCCTCTACCCATCTGTTGTTATCAAGCCTCCTCTCTCCTTATTTTACTTAATTTCTATCTTTTTCCTCTTGGTCGTGTTCAGCATGCCTGTGTCTCTTCACATATGCCCAAGCATTTGCTTTTGAGTGCCTTAGGCTGGTTCCTGCCGTTATCTTCTTGCAGGAGTGAGAGCTGCTGCTTCTTGCCTTAGGAGAGGGACCGTGTCCCCAAGGCATCTATTGAGGAGTGCAGCACTCACAGAAGTTTCTCAGTGGCCTCCCTGAGCAGGAAATTTGTTGTCATCTGGAAGGCGAGAGATACGACAACGTGAAAAGCTTATCAGGTTGGGTTGGCCTCTTTGCCTCCATCTCTCTCTGCCCGTAGCCAGACTCAGCTCCTCACTGGGGAGAAGTCACATCTTCTCATGGTGGGACATAGCAGAAGCCCTCCATGCTGGGGAGGTTTGAAATACGGGTTTCAGGGTAGGGAATTCAGGAAATAAGTTCCACATCATTTTGGGTAGTTCAAAAAGTTTTTTCTGGAAGAGGCTTAAATCCTATTGGGAAGGGTTGTTGGCAAGATGGCATCAGCTGATGTCAAAGGAAGGCTCCCCATGCTGCTATGCACCGCGCCTGGCTACACTCACCCTAAATATCTTATTTTCCCATGCCGACGCTTGAGTGATGCCAGCCCACCTTGTGTTCCTCTGAGATGCAGGCATCAGCTCCGGCCGCTTCTCGCACCCATTTCCCAGGGAGGGTGCGGGGAGCCTGGGACAGCAGCGCATCCTCCCTGCCTGGATCGCGCCAGTGCCATCACAGATGGATGCGCCGCTCGGCAGCAAGGATGCTGGTGCATTCTAATTGCTGGCATCTCTACTCGTTACGAGTGTAATTGTGAGTAGACGTTTGTTTTTGTATTGATAATTAGGGACTGGAACAGATGGTGAAGGCTTAGTTTAAAGTAATGTGTCCATTAAAGAAAATCTACTGTATACAGCTGAAGATTCTTCACTCTAAGAGAGCTCAGCTCGCAGGAGCAGAGCTTGTCTTCTCCCTAACGAGGGCTTCAGTCTTTACAGCCTGGTTGGCTGCCTGCAGTGGAGGTTCAGGTCCCAAAGACTCCTCCAAACCAGTGCATCGAGCTCCCTCCCGGGCAGAGCATCCCCTGGGCATCCACCATGCCCACATGCAGGCGGTCAGGCATGGAAGGAGTTGCTGAAGGAGCGGCAGCTTGCTCACGCTTACCTGCTGGGCATGGTGGAGGCACGGGCAGTGGCCGATGCAGGTGGCATGTGGTTCACCTGACGTGACTAGCGATGCTGCGCTAGATGGAGGACGTACAGGGAGATGATGTGCCCCTGCGCTGACACTCCTGGGGGGCTGCTCTGGCTGGGGGGATGAGACTCTCCTGCCACAGACAGGCCTCTGGTTAATTAATACCCAGTGTCAAATAATGAGGACTGGTCTGGCAGGAGGTGAGGTGCAGGGTGTCTGTGTGGCTTCTCCAGCCCCGGTCCATAGTAATCCCTTTGTCAGCAGGCAGAACAAAGGGATTTTACTGCCTGCCCCCAAGTGATGGATGGCCAAGGGGGCAATCTCCGTGTCCCCCCACCAGTGGCTGTTTTGCAGGTGAGAGATGGAAGCGGAAGCTCCAGGTGTCTCAGTTTCTCTGTGGGATCTTGGGGCAAGGGGCACCGGTGTCTGCAAACCACCCCTGTGCTGATGAAGGGTGCTGGGCAGAGCCTTAGACCCAAGCTGCCTGGCCATAAATGTCTCTGCAGGGTTTCCCCTGGGGTCATATTGTCACTCATATGTCCCAGAAAATGAAGTAAAATCCAAGATTTCCTCCCAGAGGAAACAGCAGAGGTCAATGGGAAGTTGCTCAGCTGAGTCCTTCTGGTGCCAGGACCTCTGCAGTCACAGGGTTTGGGTGAGCTCAGCAGGAATTTGAGCTGAAGCAGGGGTTTAACCATTTTATTTTATTAAAAACAAAACAACCAAACTATTTTGCCAGGTTCTTGTATATCTTAGTGTCTTTGGGAGTGAGGGCAGGTCTGAGCAGGAGATGGTCTGTAGAAGGTCAGGCTTTTAGTGGTGACTCTCAGCCCTCTTTTTCCTTTGATTTGCAAATCACTTCAGAAGCACAGAGCTGTTGAAGTGCAAGTTATGCATCTGAGATGGCCATGCAATCCTCTTAGGACTCTGGAAACCTCCGAAGTGAAAGCTTCTCTGTGGTTCTTTTCAGTTTATTTATTTATTTCTCTTGGTTTTTTTAAATTACTCTGAAGTTTCCTGCTTCAGGAGCTCCTATGCTATGCCAGCATCACTGCTGTGCCTTCCTGCTTGCTTTCCAAAATGTAGAGCCTTTGGGGAGGAAGAGAACAGGAGTGAAGGAGTGAGGCCTTGGGAGGGAGCTGCCGGGAGGGGTCCTGGTGGTGTCACCTCGGAGCAGAGCCGGTCCTCACGTGCTACCGTCCCGCACTGCGGCCGTGCTTTATCTAAAGTACATTCTGCTGTCATCACGCACTGGAGAAAAAAAAAAAGCCTGGGGAAGGAAGCTGTAAGTGCGGGGAATAGGAAGGGAGTTTATTCTTTCCTGAATAAACCCTTACATGTCCTTATTCACCGCAGAGGGTGGGTGAGCCAGGTCTGCTTCACAGCCTGGCCATGCTCCCTGCATCACCCAGGGCTCTGCTGCCTCAGTTTCCCCCTGCATGGCACAAGGACACCCTGTTTGCTGTGGGGAAAACTATCAAGGATTTTAGGGGCTCTGAGAGCATCCCTCCCCACACAGCCCCTAGGCAGTGCTTTGAAGTCCCCCAGCAATGCTGTAGTAGCATCCCAGGACCCAGCAGCTTTTCACTCCATCCCTGCTCCCCTCCCTGGAAGCCAGGCTGAGTGGGCAGCTCTGGACAGGATTTTGGGAGCAGGGAATGTTTATCACTTGTGGCAGGGCGGGGAGTTCCCGGTCACGCTCCTCTGGCTTCCCATTCTGGGGCAGCCAGCAATGGGAGGGGTGGGTAGATTAATAGGAGTCTCGTTTCCCGCTTGTGATTGCTAGGAGAGGTGCAGAGAGATTAAAAGCAGCAGCCTGGCGGCAGTTCATATTCCTGAGCTGATTTTGATTTCCTGACCTTTATTTCTCTGGTTGCACCCTTTTTCCTGGCACTGCAAAGCTGCTGTGAGTACCTGGGACCATGGAGGAAAGAGGAGGGATGCGGGATGCTTGGCTGTGCCAGCCGGCGGCAGTACGTCTCCTCCTCCCATTTGGTCGAGAAACAGGAATTGAGGAAATTAATCTGTATGTCTGCTTGCTGCAAACAAATAAATAAAACCTGGAGGATTTTCCCCATCTGTTTCTATATGTTGTTGCTCTCACTATTATTCTTCTTGTGTTTTGTTGTTGTTTTTTTCTTAAGATCGAAAGTAGGGAAATGTCAGCTGTATTATAGCTTTTAAATATTTCCCACCGAAACCTTCATCAAAAGACCCCCAAGCAGAGGAACACTGCTCCGACAATGTGATTTTTATTTGCGTATTTGAAATCACTCTGACAAGTAATAACTGTGTGCAACGACAACTCAGGGCACCAGACAGATGTAGTGTATAAAATGGGACGTCTCGCATTGTGAAGTGAAGCAAGTAGCTGTGAGCGAGTTGGATGGGACCTGTACTTCCAGGGAGTTAACGCAAACCCACTGCTTGGGTTTAGACAGGGTTTTGTACATGCATGTAATGACTCCATGAAACGCAGTGTTCTTAATTTTTAATTTTTTTTTAGTTGGTAACACTGCTTTGTTTTTCTAGGCTTGGTTCAGGCCATGTGTCTTTGTAAAGAGTCTTGTCCTGCGCTGTTTGCTCCAGACTGAAGCTTCCCTGAGTTCATTAGCAGTGTTAGGGCACCTGCTGCTTTATTTCTGAGCAGCTCCGAAGGTCAGATGTGTGCCCTGTGAAAACAAGTGAACATTTTTCTGCGGCTCTGTGTTCATAACATGGTTGAAGATGCCAAGACTAACTCACTCACTTTCCTTTTCTTGTGTTTCCTCAGAAACCTTGATGGATACGCGGACGGCGACGGCGGAGCTGGGCTGGACTGCCAACCCTCCTTCAGGGGTAAGTGCCTCTCACCCAGTTGATCCTTATGTGAGCTCGTGGGATTCACTATTTATCTTCAAACGCTGTGGGGAGCCGGGGACATCCCAGCAGGAGCAGTGGTGCTGGCGTGGGGCAGCCAGAGCATCCCTGTGCCTAGCTGCATGGCTGGTCCAGGGCTGAGCATCCCTTCCCTGAGCTGATGAAGATGGAGCTGTTCTCCATCCCCACGCTGTCTGCTGCCCTGCCTGTTGTCCTCCCAGGTGAAGGGTCCAGCCGTGTCACTGTTCTCCATCCCCCCTGCCCACGCCTTCCTTCTCTCTGTGCCAAAAGGCTTGTAATTAGGAAACATTAACAGGCTCAAAACAGCTTTCATACTTGGAACGTCATCTGTAATTGCACTCGGCAGTGCTCTTCCCTGGCTATTAATGTCACTTTTATGAAGTAATGAGGAACAAAACACCTTGAGGCACTTAAAACATCTTTTTTATATAATATGAGCCTTTGAGGAATGGAAGCATAAAATAACCTGACGCACGTTCCCCTGGCAGAGAAAGTGAGAGATGGAGTCAGAAGGAAGAGGAGAGATGGTGGGAGGGGATGTGAGCTGATGGATGGGCATCGTGGTGAGACAGGCAGTGATGGGTACAGCAGTGGGGTTCATCCTTGGGGCCTCAAGCATATATTAGATCTTCCACAAAGTATTTTGAAATACCAAGTCTTTTATTTAAAAGACATAGTGTCGGTCTGTAGCTTGTGTTGGAGAGTGAGACTTCCTCTGTGAAATCCCCTTGCTTGTGGACTGGGCTTTTCTTTGTAGCATCAGGCGCTTTGCTGGGTGGATATGGGGCATCTCAAGGTGTATTCTGGACTTCTGGAGTGAACTCTGTAGGTATCACATCCCAGGTAAGGAAGGTTTTGGGGTAGGTTGGACACCAGTTGAAAATAAGTAATGTCTTCTTTTCGCTCCAGGTATGCAGTAGTCTTTATGAGCTGCCTAGTTACAGCACTGAGTTTTAGGGTTTGTCCCATTTAATAGTCCACAACAAATATTTGAGGGCAGATTTGTGCTGCTTCTGGGTTTGTCTGGTGCTAAAAGCCAATATTTGGGTGAGGCTCATCTGGATTGTGGGTGCCAGGGCGGGTTTGCGAACTGTGACCCATCCAAGCAGCATGGTTTAGAGATGCCAAAATACACATGGGGATTTCTGCTTGTGGTCAGTGAAGACCCCAGGTTCAGTTGGTCTTTTCTTGTTTTTAGTCTTCAGTTCCAAAAAGCAGCCACCCTCTTGGTGTTAATGCTGAGGCACGGGTGCCAGCTGGGCAGTAGGGGCTATGGTCCCCAAGGACTGGCTGCAGCGAGACATGGGCTCTTGCTGTCCTCAATGGATGTGCTTGAAATCTCAGCAGAGATGGAGAAGAACATTGTCTTAATCCCTAGCTCTCTGTGAATTATTTAGTGGGATCTTGTCAAAATGATGCATTTGTCACTGTTAGAGCATTGATGGCAGCAGCCACTGGCACCATGGGGCTTTCCAGCTGTGGGGACCTCCTGCTCTTTGGTGCCTGGTTACAGGAGTGCTCAGCCCAAAGGATGCCCAAGGGAGCATCAGTATCCAGCCCCAAACCCTCATGAGGGTTTTCCAAGTGGCATTTGGTGGTGTTCCCAGCTGCAGGCAGCCCTGTGTGCTGGGCATCTGAAATGTAGCTGTGTCCACTGGCAGATTTTGGCTCCAGATCTGAGTTTTGAAGCTCTGTTTGCAACCTTCCCTCCCCCTCCGCCCCCCCACCTCCTCCAAAAAAAAAATCAAAGCATAAGGAGGGCTCAGTGGAAGGAGCTGACGAGAGAGCTGGCTTCCTGATGGGCACCATGGATAAGAGGGTTGTGGCTCAGTTCCCCTCCTGTTTACCCAGCTGTGGTGCTGGAGCCGGCGAGTGGGATGAAGAGGAGGATTTGGGGAGGACTGTGCAGCTTTCTTGTGTGAAAAGGTGTCTGGGAATGAAAGGGTGTGGGATTTGCACGTCTTGTCCAGGATACATAAGAGGTTTTTGCCGTGCTTTTGCAGCGTGGGATGAGAAGGGAGAGCGCTTGGCTGGATGTGCGAAGTTTTATTGCTGGTTGCTGTTTGCTGAACAATGATGTGCAACCTTGAGCTGTGATCTGCGCTTAAACTCAGTGGAGCTGAGTAGGTGGACCTGGGAGCAAACGTTCAGCTGCGCTTGTTGACAATGTGTAGAGGACCCTGCTTTGAATACAAAATAAAAACCTGTGGGTTTTTTTACATCAAGGCTGTAGTTTACTATGGGGAAGCTTGGGAAGCAGGTGAGGAGTGTGGTTGTTTAATGGAAAATGGAAAAGGGCAAAATCTGTAAGATCGCGGGGTTGGTCATGGTACATCAGCTCTTTAGGAAGGCTCAACGTGGCGGGGCAGGTTGGCATCACCCATCTGCCGCTGTGCCCCCACATAAGCACGAATGCATGCAAGTGCTGTCATAGCATCGCTTCTGGAAATTATGCATGATATTCAGAGTGCTGCTTAAAGATTGCCATATGAATAATGCTGTTATGAGGAGATTGTAAACATGGATTAGTTAAAATGAATGGATTATGAGGTTGTAAATCTGTCTGTAGGACTCTAATGCCATCATAGACTATTCACAGTTTGCCGCTGTCCCTTAATTGAAATTGTAGCCTGGATTATATTAATGCCCTTCTATAAATCGAATTGCAAATCTATATTCTCTCTCGCCGTGGTGGTAATGTTTTATTTAGTTAGTTTTCTTTGCCAGGGGAAATGATCCCATCGTGCCGAGTGCCTGGGGTCAGGCTCTCTCTCCAGCCCACATACTGGCTCGGGCTTTAATGAAGCCATAGCCTCGTTTGCTGCTTTCCCTCTTGCCTCTGGTTGCCTGGACCATCTCTCTTCTCATTTTTACGTCTTCTCAGGGCAGCTAAGGTGGTTGCCTGTGTAGAAAAGATGTTTTAACATCTGCTGGGAGCGATGGGGATGCAGGGGTGAGAGGGTGAACATTGCTGCTGCTGCTGGCCTGGGTGGTGTTTCTTCTGCATGTGCTTCATGTTACGTGTCCACGACTGCATTCCTAGTCCACTTTGGGGCTTTGGGATTCTCCTTCCAGCCCTGTCTTGTGTGGGGTAAGCGCCACCTGTGTGGCTCACAGGCCGCCACTGGTGCCTCTGCCTCCCTCTCATCACTTCTCCCTTCCCCTTTGCAGTGGGAAGAAGTCAGTGGCTACGACGAAAACCTCAACACCATCCGTACGTACCAGGTCTGCAACGTCTTCGAGCCCAACCAGAACAACTGGCTCCTCACCACATTCATCAACCGGCGTGGAGCTCACCGCATCTACACCGAGATGCGCTTCACTGTGCGGGACTGCAGCAGCCTCCCCAACGTCCCCGGCTCCTGCAAGGAGACCTTCAACCTCTACTACTACGAGACAGACTCTGTCATTGCCACCAAGAAGTCCGCCTTTTGGACGGAGGCACCCTACAGCAAAGTGGACACCATTGCTGCTGACGAGAGCTTCTCCCAGGTGGACTTTGGTGGCAGGTTGATGAAGGTGAACACAGAAGTGAGAAGTTTCGGGCCCCTGACCCGCAATGGCTTTTACCTGGCTTTCCAGGACTATGGGGCTTGTATGTCTCTGCTGTCCGTCAGGGTCTTCTTCAAGAAGTGCCCCAGTGTGGTGCAGAACTTCGCCATCTTCCCGGAGACGATGACGGGAGCGGAGAGCACCTCTCTAGTGACTGCTCGTGGCACCTGCATCCCCAATGCCGAGGAGGTGGACGTGCCCATCAAACTGTACTGCAACGGGGACGGGGAGTGGATGGTCCCCATTGGGCGCTGTACGTGCAAGGCTGGTTATGAGCCGGAGAACAACGTGGCTTGCAAAGGTAAGGCTGGCCTTGGGTAATGAGGCACTTTTATTGATTTTAAGCTTTGCTTAACAAAATGTTTGTTCCCAAACAAGCTGTTTTGGGAAATGCCTGTTTTGAAATTGGTCCTGCACTGTTTACCTGCCCTGAGGTGGTTTTGCTCTGAGTACCAGGCAGGGATTTGGGAGCAGTGGTCAACCCGTGGCTTCTCGGTGTGCTACGGCGTGCAGCCAAAGTCAGCGAACAGCGCGGCGAGGATGCGGGTGCTGGTGCAGCCGCTGCCATGAGCCCCCTGGAAGCCGCCTCTGTGATCTGCTGCCTTCAAAGTGCTGCGCGGGCCAGCGCTTGCCGGCTGAGCCGCTTTCATCTGCCTCGTTATTTCCCCAGCAAAGCTGTGGGAGCCGGGCAGCCGCTGTCGGGCCCGGCTGCAGCAAAGCCGCTCTGATTCTCGACATTAATTGGAATTTTTTTTTTGCTGCTTTTGGGTTCCCCCAGCCACGCCACCAGCACGCTGCTGCCTGCTGGAGTCCTCCACAGCGCGGGGTTATAAATATGGAAATAGCACTCGCTGCTTTTCATCTCCTGTTGCTGTTCTGGTGAATATTTCCCAAATACTGTTGGAAGATTATTATTTTTTTTAATATTGGCTTTATTCGCTGCCCTTTCCTCCTCTTCTCCCAAATTAGGGTGTTGTTTCTGTATGCTGCTTAGGAGGAGGGAATAGGAGAGGGCTTTTTGCATGGGAAACTAACCTCTGTTTCATCGGTGCTTTCCAAATAGCTTGTAGAAGGTGGGCACCACCAGGTCAAGGAAGGGTTGAGAAGAAGGGGAAGGTTGAAGGTAGGTGTCTAAGTGCTTTGGTGCTGGTTTTGGAGGGGTGATGGGAAGAGGTCTGATTTGGACCTCTTGTGGTGCAGGTGGCAGCACATGTAACACCAGGCTTGGCTGTGGGGCCATGTTGCCACCATGGTATTTCTTCTCCACCTGTAACTCCACATACATGAAAATGGCAAAGCTGGGATTCAAGCTATGGAGAAACTTGTTTGTTAATTTGCCTTAAGCCTGGGAGCTTGTGTAGTTTTTCCTGCCTGGCCAAGGTGGAGTTGGCAATGCCTTCCTATGGCTGGGAAACCACCAGAGAGTCTGTGTGCTTGTGCCTTGTTTTCACATCAAGAAGCATCGCTGGTGGATTCCTTTGAGTTCTGTGGTTGACCTCAAGCGTGGTTTTATTCCCACCAGGAGATGGTCTGTTCCCCTGAGGAGCAGATGCGCTCCATCACAGGGAGGGCTCTTTGCAAACGGCAGCGTTTCTGGTGAGATGTTCCTCTGCTACTGAATAAACAAACAGAAAGCGCACACGGTTTTATGGCAGAATGACATTTCCTCATCATGGAAAAATAAGTACTAATTTTAGCTAAAGGCTGTAATTGTGCAAAAAAGGTGATTTTGCCAGAAATATAGGAAAACAATGCTGATGCAAAGCTGCTGCAGGTTTTGATGGTATAGACCTTTCTATCTGCTGCCAGCTGGGGAAGTGGAGGAGGTTGAGGTCTTGAGCACCTCTAGCCCCCTGGTAAAGAGGGTGCTGCACCTACCCAATGCTCATAGTTTGAGGATGGAGGAGGACAGCAGGATGCAAGAAGCACAGAAGCCATTTTTTATGAGTAAAAATCAGACCTGATGTTGGACTCTGGGTTCTCAGTCACTGGTGTGCATCCTTTGGCCATGAACCTCCTCTCTGTACCCCTGTGGATCTTGGAGCCCACAAGGAAAGACCTGAACCCACTACTGCCCTTTCCAAAGGTCAGTGGGAAGGGGATGGCACATTGCAAGGTTTAGAAATAATAATTTATTGGTTTTCTGTTTGTCTTCATGCTCTTGAAGGGGTCGCATTCCCCTGCCTGGTTCGCCTCACAGGGATGCTGCCAGGATCACACCCTGGCTCCTTTGAACCGTGTGCTCCTGCCATTGGCTCAAAACCTTCGTCAGCTTGAGCTGAGCCACTTAACAAGCCTGGGGGAATTGTCACCAAGACAAAAAAATAATTAAAAAATCCCTTGGTATTTAAAGGCTGAGAAAATTGGCTTAATTCTCAGTGGTGGGAAAAAAATAGGGTTGAATGGTTGAGCTCCTGCAGCCTTCCCTCATCCCTCCCACCCCCTGGGATAGAGGCTGTGCCTATCATGGGGCTATTAGACCGGAGCGGCTTCGTGCTGACAGCAGAGCTGGGGGCCACTGAGGGATTCATTAATACCAGCTTTTATCAGCACTTAGCCACTCATGAAAGGCATAGGCAGAGCACAATCTTTATTGGGGGTATTTGGAGTCCCAAAGAAATCATCACCGTGTTTTAGGGGCAGAGTGATGTGGGGGCTGTTACCACGTTGATGCTAAGATGGAGACAGGAGGGAGGGATATTTTTTTTTATTGATCTGTGCTGTTATTTGTTTCTGTCCTGGGCTGGTTGGGGTTTGGCATAGACCTCCAGACTGGTGCGAAGCTGTGTGCCTCTCAGCTGGGTGATGGCATGCTGTACCCAAAAACCTGGTGGGACTGCCTACCCCATCCTCTTTGGCACCTTGTGCCCGTGAGAGCTGTGGGTCAATGTGAAATGGAGGCTGTTACTGAATTAAAAATGAATAATTCATTTGGTGCGATAGCCCGTGCTCCGTTTGGGTGGATATTAAATCCATTTGTCTTGCTCTGCCCCATCCCTCAGCCTTGCTTTATGGCTTCCTCGTGTGGTCAAGGTGCAATGCATCATTGTGCTGGGGAGAAGGTGGGAGGAAAAGAGGGAGCGGGGATCATTGAGAGGCCGGGGAAATCGGTCAATACCTTGGATGAGCGTGCTGGGTGGATTTCACTTGTTCTCCTCAAGGAAAATTATTAAACCCTTTCTCTCCTGGCGTTTCACTCTGAAACCTAATGACGACAAGGTAACCCCTTGCTAGAATGATGGCAGTTGTGGATCTCTCAGCTTTTATCCCTTTTGACTCTGAGGATGGTGTGCTGAATTTGTGTCTGCTGGAATCACGCTGACTTTCTCTGTAACCTTCCCAGAAACAGGTGATAACTCAGTTGCATGGAGAAGGAAAAAAAGCCTGAGCTAAAGGAAGGAAAGTCTGAGCTGAAGGAAAAAGTCTGGAGCTAAAGCAGCCATGTGCTGAATTCTCACTTTGTATGTATAAACTCAGGGAGAAGGGGTGAGAGAGCGGTCCTGCTGCTTCCTGGCCTTGTCTTGCTTTTGTTTTTCCCCTCCTGGCAAATTCCTGTCATGGCGCAGTCGGGAGCCTCCAACCTGCCACAGCTCAGGATAAGGAACCAACCTGCTTGCTTGCAACGCCTGGAAATCAGAGCTAGCAGGGATGGAAAAAGTCTTTGGGTGCTGACCGCTGCGCCCGGGCTGTGCCAAGCCTCTGCCAAAGCTGCGTGTGGGTTGATTTTGGCCTCCTTCATCCCTTTGGTTTCTTTGTCTCCTTTTCCCATTTGTGCCTGGAGGGTGGGATTTGGGAAAGGGATAGTGGGGGGGATGTGTCTCACCAGTTGAATGTCAAGGAGCAAGCGGCCCCATGCTGGTCCCGCCCCCCCCCCGTCCCGTCCCCCCCCCACTGTTATCCTCCCCTCCTGCTGAGCAGCCTTGGCAATAATTATTGATTTTCTCTATTTAGCCATCACAGAAGGCTGGAAACAATACAAAGCATGGCATTTAGAAAGTGATCTTTTAAAAAAATAGTAATTATGAACATTTTGTAATTAGCAGTAATTTGCTAACACTTAAAATAAGGGAGGGCTGCAGAAAGGCCTTTTTTTGCATTTTAGGGTAGTGTTGTGTTTTTTTTCTCCCAGTAGTGCTGGTTCCTGTACTTCCCCACGACTAGGTATTATCATTCCAGCTGCCACACCAACCCAAACAGCTCTCAGCTACCTCCTGCAGCTCTGTGGGTTTAGAAGTAGGATTTCAAGCTTTTCTCCAGTTTAGCATCACAAGGGGGTTGGCTGGGCAGCCCTGGGTCTCCTCCTCACCCGGCTCCGCTGTGTCTCTGTGGGGCTTGGACTACTGGCAGCCACTAACTATCAGAAAAGCTGCTTTTAGCCCAAAATGAGAGCATTCATGCAGCTGAGGCATCTTTTCCCCCTAACAGCAGCAAGGACATCCGGGGGAGGTGGTGTTTTATTTCAGGTTTAGCCAAGCCAAAGAACCCCTGACCTCTCAAAATAGGCCTTTTCCTCCCTTTTTTAAAAAAATGCTTTTTCACAATATCAAGTTTTCTACCTCCTTTCCCAGCTGGCATCAGCCCAAGACGCTGTCCCCGTCTGGGCTGTGCGGGGAAGCAGCCGCTCGCCCAGCAATTCCCGGCTCTGGGCAGGGATGCTGGAGGGGGATGGAAGGATGCAGGGATGCTGGGGGAGCTGGAGGGATGCTCCCTTTGGTTGCAGGGGCTTTGCCGCCTTCTGGCAGCCATCTCCCTGCTTCCGCCGCTGGGTGGAACAGGCAGCCCAGTTTTACCAGGGCCGCACTGTGGAGGAGATGCATTGGAATCACCATGCCTCCAAAAAAAAGAATAGAAAAAAAGTGTGATTTTTTTTTCTTAAATTATGCCTTAATGAAGGCATCCATTAACCTCTGTAGTAATTTTGTAAGGAATATGTCTAGGAAAACCTTGTTAAATTTTTTTTCTAATGAGTGTGATGGGTTTTAATGGAAGTCTTAATTAGACATTATTAGCCAAGGTGTTCCTCAGCTGGATTCCAGGCCCTTTTCTCTCCCCCAGTGCAGGGATGGGGAAGGACCGTGTGTCCTGGCTGCGACTGCTCTCCAGCTCTGTCCCCCAAATCCTGTGTGGGGTCTGGCTTATCCTTGCAATCCAGATCCCTCCAAAGAGGAAATGAAGGAGAAATCTGGAAAATGCCCTGGGAACGTGTGAGTGCAGGCCAGGCAAACATCGCTGGGCAGCCATAGCCACAGTGTCACTCAATGTTGAACTTTTAAAAATTATTTTTCAGTCTTTTTTATTTCT